ATATGTATGTACATACAAACGAGCACCAATTAATTTTATTTAAAGAAATGGCGTGTCGTCTATTTCCGCTGTAGCAAACGTAGTACATAGGGCGACATCTAGATGTCATCTACCTCGCCCTATTCACTACAGATGTCGCCCTATGCACTATGCTTTTTTATAGGAGCTTTTCAAAGCAAAGGTCTTATGGTGTCGGGCACACAACATTGAAAGTTTCGGATCCACAACATTGAAAGTTTCTGGACACACAACATTGCAAGTTGATAAAAGCGTTGTAAAATGGTTCCGTTTATGCATAATTGGCGAATTCATGATATGAAGCGCTTTGACAAAGTGGCAGCGCACTAGCGAAAAACTAAACAGTAGGGTTGTGATATTTTCCCCCTTTTTTAAATGTGCAAAACACGTTGGTACCAGGAAATGGTCCATGTTATATCTAAAAATCTATTTGGATTTATTTTATTTTATATTTGAACAAATCCACGCACTTTTTCCAGTGTCTTAAATCATGGTTATGCCACTACATGCTTTTGAATCTAAAAACGTAATAACCCGAGTAAACAGCTGTTTGTGAAAAGCGGCGTTGTTGGACTAGCACTTCGCGTATTCATGAAATGATGCCGAAATTCATGTTTAATTTTCGGAGACAATTTCAACCCAAATTCACGTATATTAAGCTAGCAGACTATGGTCACGACGCAGAACTCTAACCTTTTGGGTATTTAGTTGCTAATTAGTTACACTATTCCCGATTTAGTTGCTCATTACCTCTAAAAGATACGTGCGATCTGCTAAGTTAGATCTTAACCTAGCAGGTTCCCGATAAGATATCAGAGTTCTGCCAACGGCATATTTAGTTGCTAATTAGTTACACAATTCCCGATTTAGTAGCTCGTTACGGGTTAAACATACATATGATCTGCTAAGTTTAGTCTTAAGCTAGCAGACCATTGCTATATCTTCGGTTCCCGATAAGATATCAGAGTTCTGCAAACGAGATATAGTTAGTTGCTAATTAGTTATACTATTCCCGATTTAGTAGCTCATTACGTGTAAAAGATAGTTGCGATCTGCTAAGTTAAGTCTTAAGCTAGAAGACCATTGCTATATCTTCGGTTCCCGATAAGATATCATATCTCTTCAAACGGCATATTTTGTTGTTAATTAGTTGCACTATTCTCGATTTTCTAGCTCATTACGTGCAAAAAATACGTGTGATCTGCTGAGTTAAGTCTTAAGCTAGCATACCATTGCTATATCTTCGGTTCCCGATAAGATATCAGAGTTCTGCAAACGGGATATTTAGTTGCTAATTAGTTACACTATTCCCGATTTAGTAGCTCATTACGTGTAAAAGATAGGTGCGATCTGCTAAGTTAAGGCTTAAGCTAGAAGGCCATTGCTATATCTTCGGCTCCCAATAAGATATCAGATCTCTTCAAACGGCATATTTAGTTGCTAATTAGTAGGGTTGCCAGACGTACTGCTTTTGGGAGTACACGTACTCCTTTTTAATGCAATGTACTCCCTTGTACTCCCAAAAAAAAATATATGGAAATGTACTCTTTTATTAGTTTTGTACTTCTTTTGTTCTCCTTTTTCCAGCTATTAATATTTTATCATATACAGGGTGTAAAATAATAACTGTCGCACAGTTTTTTTTTTTGTTTTTAATAAAAGGGACCTTTATAGATTTTGCGAAAATTTTATTAATTCGTTTTTAAATTTTAACCCTCATTTGGGTTTACCAGCGGGTTTGGGAGAAAAGTGCAAGCGGCACGCAAGTCTTCATCGGTTACGTTATTACATATCTTCTGTAAATATAGGCTAATTTCCCCCATTTGGGACCTTTATACTCCATCTTTTGTCCAACATAAGGCCTCATACTCAGCAATCGAAAAGACTCCGAACCGGTGACTAGGAGGACATTCATACGACCAACCCTATACAGTTTTTTTTCTTTTTTTTATACAAAGTCTAAGAAAAAGTACACCTATAAAAGACGTGAGTGCCGCATGAACTTATCTCCCAAAGCTGGCAAATGCAAATAGGGATTAAAATTTTAACCCTAATTAATAAAATAGATGTAAAGTATTTACAAAATTAACAAAAAAATACTCTTTTTCTCTTTTTCGCAACATCTATAAAGGACCCCTTTATTTTTTCAAAAAACCTGTCTGACATTTATTATCTTACGCCCTGTACTTTGCCATTCATATTGTGGCAAACACTACTTGGTAAGCAAAGTTAAGTGTGATAGTGAAAAGGTGTAGGCATGGTCGTAGCAAGGTAGGTGCAGAGCGCTCGGGTATAAAAATCAGAAAAATATTAAATTAATTATAATGTTTAATTAAAAAACTGGCCATATATTCAGAAAGAGTTTGGAATTCTTTTGTAGAATTTAGTTTGGGAAAATTTCCTATAAAGGCGGTCATTGAAGAGGTGTTGAGCGAAGGGGGAGTGGACGTAGCACCCCCACCACCTAGGCCCCTTATGGTTCCCTAGGGATGCCTTAGAAAAATCGCCAAATACCACAATTGGGTGCCACGCCCACTCCCCCTTTGATCACCATCTCTTTAACGACCGCCCTTATTGGAAAGCCAGCCATTTAGTTATTTATTTTTAGCATTTATTGTTGCTTTGAAAAAGATTTCTAAAATATCTTTGTTTATTTGTACCTAATTAATGGTAATTTGTAACAATAGATTTCACACAAAATTTAAAAAAAATGTACTCCTTTTTTAGGTCTTGTACTGCTTTTTTTCTATCGAAAATATAAATGTATCTACTCCTTTCTCCGTTTCAAAATCTGGCAACCGTACTAATTAGTTACACTATTCTCATTAGCTCATTACGCGTACAAGATAAGTGTGATCTGCTTAGTTAAGTTTAAACCTAGCATACCATTGATATATATTTGGTTCGTGATAAGATATCAGAGTTTTGCAAACGGCATATTTAGTCGCTCGCAGACAACGTAGTTAATCAGGGCTATTACTGAAACCATCGGTTTTTGGGTTTTTTTTAACTTTATATTCTTTTTCTTAAAAAGGCATTTTTTTAATTAATTTACATTCGTTTATTAAATGGCGTCTAGCAGATGAATGTATGTACATATAGTACGTAATTGGTATTTTACCTCTACTGCTACACAAATATACGGAATTATATAAACTATTAAAAATTTGGAATAAGATAAATATTTAGTATTAACAATAATGCAGAATTTCTGAATTATTTTTAAGATTCAGCGATTTTAAATTTTGTTTAGACAGCATAAACTCGTAGAGTACTGTACGAATCTTCATTACGAACTGATTCAATGAATGCTCCCTGCGAATTTTGAATTTACGTTCGTAGCTCTTAAAATCATCTGTTTTAATTTTTTCTCAGATTAAAAAGGTTGACCTGTAGACCATAGGGTTTTATTTTTTTAAAGAGTTGCTACCTGCTAAAAAATAAAATTAAATTTTTTTAATAAGTTAAATGAACTATTAAGAGTTGGGTATCAATGTGTATGAAAAGGGTTTATTTTTTAACTACATGTAGAGGGTTGCCATCTGCTAAATAAAACCAAATTCCATTGGAATCAAAGTAATAAGGTTATTGAAATAGATTGACATCACCATATGAGAGTCAGACGAAAGAAGTTTTAGAAGGTTTTAGCTTGCAAATACTACGAAGAGGGTTGTCACCTGTTTGTAAAGTCAAATTTAGGTAAAATAAAATAATAATTGTGTCAAATCAAAGGTCTGCGACATCGTATTTGTTATTTTATTACAAATACAGACATTGTCAATCAGTGATTTTTTCTCATTTCATTCCTTTTAAATTACTGGATTCTTGTGTGATATGCCCAGTTTTTTCTTTTGTCTGATACCCATATTGATATACATATTTCAGTTAGCTCATTCCCTTTATTAAACTGAATTTTATTTTTTAAACATATGGCAACCCTTCTACGTGTCGTTCAAAAGTAAAGCATTTTCAAAACCATTTCAATTGATACCCATATTGTAATATCTAATTCATTTAACTTATTACATAATTTTAATGAAATTAGTAACAGGTGGCAACCCGTTTCAAAAAACTAAAACTTTATTGCACATTTACAGGATAAACCCCGTCATTTGACACCTCACTTTTGAAAATGGAACAAAATATATGTATGTACAT